GCACCTCTGTATTTAACGGAAATTGTTTGCAGTTTCGTATGACGTAGCCTCAGTGCTTTACTCGGGGCATAGACGGGGCAGGCAGGTTTCCCCTTCTGGATTATCTCCTTCATCCATGATAAATCCTCAGAGGGAAATGTTAATCTTCTCCCTTATTTTTGGCAGTTTCAGTGATAACTTGCTAATATCTGTTGGCATACTGTTTACCTCTGTCTAAATCTTTTGAATCTTTGATTTGAAGGTCCTTTTCACACGAGCCCCTGCAGTCTGATCTCATTGTAAGCTGTACCAATAAGCAACTGAGTTCAGTGGTGGAGGGAGGGGCCGAATGCAGCGATTGAAACCATAGCGGGTGCTTGGTCAGGCCTCTGGGTGCAGAGCAGTCAGGCAGTTGCAGCCTTGGGAGCTGTGCTGAGAATTGGTATCAAGTGTGAAAATACGTTTTTCTGGGGAATAACAGGAACTAGCATGGGTACTTCCACAGTTAGACTCATAAAATTGGGTTTAAGCATTGCAGAACATGAGAGAGGTGCACATTGTTATGTAAATGTCAGAAAATTCAATTCAAAATAATTTAGTCTCACACAGACCTGGAAGACGTCTCCTCAGATACAAAATCCAATCTCTCTACTATTGCATCACCTCCCTTTAATAAATGTTTGAAGCACCATCTCCAAGGTGTATTTTCCTTAGCCAGAACAATGTACTTTCTTATTGAGCATTTGGCAGATCTCATTTTCCCCACATGCCCTTCAAAAGATGGCCACAAATCAGTGTTGGCTCACCTTCGTATTTTACTACATCATGGATGCTGTCCACAGAAAAAAGAGCAAACCCAATGAAATGCATGAATTGCAGTGCAGTGTATTGGTTGTCCTCTTGTATTTACAACTGATTCCCACAAAAACCCCTGCCTGCATGCCCGTGGCTTCTGACCGGTTCAGACCTCACAGCTTGTTCTTCTTGAGCTCTGAAAGCAGATTGCGGCACCTGCTAAATCAGCTTTCTTGGGATAGGGCCCTGTAAGTGCAGGAGCCAGGGGCTCTACTCGCATCCTCACAGTTACTGGAGCTGAGATCTTTGGCTTGCTGAACCTCAGGGGGTCTCGTTACCCCTGGTCTCACAGACTCTGTGTCTGGAGTATATTCTGTGTCTCACCCGAGCGGTGCTGCCTGCGCAGGGTTTACTGGCCCTGGAGGAAAGGGGCTGTGTCCCAGCCCTTGGCCTCCTGAAGTCCCAGGGGAACTTTGCCGTTTGGTGAAGGAGAAACTCCAGCATTTGTTCCTCCGATTCTGGTTTTAAAAAATGGTTTATTTTTCCAAGCACTCTGCTGAATACATGAGAAGCATGTATGGCATGAGAGGATAGGGTATTGAGGTTGTTATTCTTCCGATTCATTAGATAGATCCTGATTTATTAATACCTTCTAAAGGAAAACCTGTAATTTAATTGACACCTGAATTCAAATTCAGCAGTGTCAGTACCGTGCTGTACTGAGCAGTGGCATTCACTCAGTGGTTTTTCACATCACTTTTAAAATACTGACACTCATTCCAAGCTGCATCCTTTATTTCAATGTTGTAAGCTAATACATTTTTATAATTATATTTATGGGTATTCAATACCTAATTAATCAGTGCTTTAGAAAAAAATACTCTTCTGTCCCAGAGGACTTCCTCATAACTCCATGCTACTGAATTTGTTTTTTTAATAAATAGGAAACTTAGCACCTTAACTAAGAGCCAAGCAAAGCAGTAATGTTATTACTGTCATCACACCACAATGTCTTTTATGACAGTAATATTACATAGGAAGTTTAAATTGATTCTTCACCTGAAACAGTATCTGTCCTGCAAGTATTCCAAGGATGCTTTGGTATAGGAAAGATTTGAGTAGGTTGTTTTTTTTAATTCAGGCACTTAAATGCACTTCTAGGTAGCCTGATGTTCAGAGCTGCTGTGTAGCTGCAGCTCCCAGGGACTCAGCAACATTCATCGTTGCTGAAAACCAGGGAACAGGTAACAGATGCGCAGACAAGCTCAGCGCCAGCTGCTTCCACTGAACTGCTGCTTTTTGGTGAATCTGCCGTGGGGAAGTGGGGCAGGGTTTTGAGGAGGTGACCGTGTGCTCATTGCAGGAATGGGCAGGGAGGAGCATTGAAGATGGTCGCTGTGTGGATAACTTTCTGCTTTCATGTTAGCATTTACAGTCTGGTCATTTTACTTCAACATCTACTTCTGGATCTCAGAAACTTCCTTGTGTTGATGTCTTTACGCTTATTTCCCGTTCCCTGACTTGTGCTGTCAGCTTCACAGCAGATACAGACCGAGGTCAGAGAGAATGAACCTTCCCTGCTCACAGGCAAGCCAAGGCCGGGGGGCACTGTCAGGTTCCTCAGTCTTACAAAAGATGAGAGCAGATAACTGGAAGGAGAAGACAAAAGGAACTATGGTGTTTCCCTATATTGCAGAGCTTTTAGTTGTTCTCCAACCCCTTTCTCTTGCCTCAGTCTTCATACTTCATTTCTGAAGCTGTTTCTGGCAGTAGGCAGTCAGTGGTGCCAGAAAAAGGAGACAACCTCTTTAATAAGAACATGCTCAGAACTAGCTCTTGAATAAGGAAGGGTTCATGTGCTTTCACTGTACTGAAAGCAGAAGGGAGTCACTGAGCCCAGAGATCTTCCTTTATCAAAAATCTTGTCCATGATTACCAAGCTAGGTGGTAAAACCTCTTCCTTACAGATTATCAGTTCTAAAATAGTGGAAAGAACAGAAACTAGAAGGGGACATTGAGTGAAATCTAATGTTGAACTGTGACACCATTTTCTGTAAGAAAGCCAAGCAGGGTGGTCTTCTGCCATAAATGTACACATCTGAGGCATCCCCAACCTCGCCCTGTCCCAGCAGTTTGTTGAATGTTTTGTGTTATCTGCAAACCAAGTTATTTTTGCCTTACAGAAAGCAACCAAAAATCATGAGATGGATGAGTAAGTGGCTAAGGGCCTCTGTATGTACAGCTCATGGAAGTGAACTTGCAGTAGCAGCCATACAACAGGGTTTTTTTGTCTTGTTTTAAAAAGTAATTTGATTTCATGGCTTTCTGTAGAATATTGTAATAATTCTGCTGTAAATACAATAAAAATCACAGTTTGCTGAGATGGCCTCTGTTTTGTTCATGGAAAACTTGCATGAAATACAAGTAATATGTGAGTGAATGGCCCACTTTATACTTTTTAAAATAACGGAGTTTTTAAAAATACTTCATATGGTGCAGTGTGTGGCTCCCTGACTGGAACAGCCCAGGGCGGGAGTACAGATTTAACACAAATCCAAAAGGATCCTATTTTCAGTGACTGCCCTGCCCTGTCAGTGGGAATTCAGCATGGGGTTGTAGGAGCTCCAGTTTCTACCCCCCCAGTTCATGGGTCCCCCCCTCAGGTATTGAAATGTCTCATCTCAGCAGAGCCATGTGGGGAGTATGCATTGCCCAGAAGGATGCAGGCTTCATTGGCAAAGTGCAAGGTGCTGTGCTCTGAGAGCTGACCTGGCTCATTCGGGCCTTTGCTCTGAACTCTCCTAAGCAATGATACAGGAAGAACACCATAACTTGACATTCCCAACACTGGAAATAAAAATGGACGATGGGTGTTTAAACCTGGACTGAAAATCAGCAATTCAAGCAAGGTGTTGTGATATGTGTGTATACACTGCACAACTGCACTGGAACACCAGCCTCTGGCAGGCAGTACCTGGCAGCTCAGCCATCACCCAGCCACTGTGCTTCCCCCACCCTGATGCTAAAACACACAAACTCCTCACTGCAAGGAAGAAGATGGTGGCTGTGGCACCCTGAGACAATATGCAGAGGCTTCTGCTAACGTGACTGGAAACCGTTGACAGCTGAGAAGCCCCGCTCCGTGTCTGCTTGAGTCACGAACCAGCGATGAGAACCAAACCAGCCACCAAAACCACAAGGTGTGACTGCCACTGGTCACTGGTACTGCCTGCCCAGGGTAACGCTGCAGGCAAGCTTGGGGTGAAAAACACTTTATTGGGCTGTTTACATTAAAAATTATTTTCCCCCCAGTGTTTAAAAAAAAAAAAAAAACAAAAAAAAACAAAAAAACAAAGAAAACAGATAAAAATACACAAATTTTTTTTTTAAAAGAGCAACAGATTGTTCAAAAGTGCTTCCATGAGTCCCTGTGCACGTCAGGCATCGCAACACAGGTGTGGACCCAGGCGCCCTGCCCCCTACTTGCACATGCTGTACCCCTTGCAGTCTGAGCCCCACCAGTAACAGTTTGACCAAGGAGCGGGGCTGCATGGTGGGGATCATGCACATGGAGCACCAGAGCATTGCAGAACTGCTGAGCTGAGAGGGCATCGCTTTCCAAAGCAAGTCATGGGCTGGGGTGATGGTGCTGGCCCCTGGGCTCTGAAAGGGGGACGCCAGCACTGCCACACACCTGGGTAGAGACCCAGAGCCCCCCGAGCCACAGCCCCACTCAGTAGCACCAGGACCTGCTTCTGCAGGTCCTCCCCCCCGCCGACTTAGGGCCAGCACAGCAGAGCTTGTGGAGAGGAAATCCCAGCATAGTGAGCAAGATTAGTCCCAGGGTTTGTTACAGAGCCTTTTGTCCTGTGGGCTGAATCTGATCTCTGAAAAATAATGCATTTGGTGGGGGAGGGATTGGTTTCTTTCTTTTTTTTTTTTTTTTTTCCCTTTTTGCTGGCTCGTTGTTAAACTTCTTTTACATAGCTGGGAGTAATACAAGAAGCTTGGGCTGGGTGAGACAGGAAGCCCTTGTCAGCCCAAAGACATACAAGCCTGGGAACTTTGGGGAGCTAAGCCAAACATCAGCAATAGGAGCAAATACCCACATTAGCCCATGCTGAACATGTAAAAGAGCCACTCAGATCTCAGCAGCGGCACTGAGCTATCGCATCTAAGTGGGCAGCTGATCGGGAAGGACGTTTTAACATTAAAGCATTGAAGATTCAGGCTAATTCTCTAAGGGCTGCTGGGAGCGCTGCCCGGTGCAGAACTCAGCTGGCTCTTTCTTTAAACCCCAACACTTCTTCTTTTCCTTCTGCCAACATACACTTGCTCACCTGGGGACAAGAAAGTCAAAAAGGGTTATCTGAAAGGTTCATGTGGGGAGGAAAAAAGACAAAAGAACCAAAACAAACAAAACAATGGGCCATGTGGGTTTTCCAGCAGTTCCTAGAGATGGGCTGGTGACTGAGGAATCCTCCACTCACTGACTGGGAAACTCTGCTCTCCTAGGGATGCCAGATGTTCATACCTTTCTCTCCTTTCTCTCCTTTTGGTCCCCTCTGCCCATGGCGTCCTGGTGGGCCCATCGGTCCAGGGTCACCTGAAGGAACAAGAAGACCAAGTTTGCCCTTGAACATGACTGGCTGACAAACAGGGACAGGCCAGGGTAAGGAAGATGAAGTTAGGAAAATGCTTGGACCGAGATCCTGAAGATGCCACCTCCACTGTGGTGTGGCTGTGAGCCCGGTGCCAAATATCTCCATAGACACAGTGCTGCTTCCTGAGTGTTACAGGGCATGAGAGGGAAAGGATGGCAATTCTTACCTTTAGGTCCAGGATAACCCCGCTCCCCCTTTTCACCGGGTGGCCCCTGGATGGTACCGTATGCTAGAGAGGGAAATGAGGGAGAGGATGAATGAGTGGGACAAACCTCTTGCAAAGGGCTCTGTGTTGACTTAGCAAAACAGCGAGTCACACTGAAAGGACATTTCTACGGGTCAAATGGGATTAGACTGACTGAGAGCAGGTTTTTAAAACTGGGTTTGGTCCCAGCAAAGTCCCAGGGGCAGGCAGTGATCTCATATCACTGCACTGCCACCCTGGGTATCCTGGCTGTCACCAGGGCTGGGGCTGGCCCATGCTCAGGGAGGGGAATTTGAGAACAAAGTATGCAGCTGTCTCGAATTGCTCTACATGTGCCAGCCCAGCCATGTTAAAATGGGGCACAAGGGTTGCAAACACTGTGGCCTTCAGGGTTTGGGATGAGTTTCTTAGAAGTAGTGGAAAAACCTGATGTACTTCCTGATGATGAGACTGCACCTCCTCAGCAAAGGAAGAAGGGGATGTAAAGACTATCTGCCTCCAGCTTTGTATCATGACTGTACTTTTGCAGCAAGCAAAGGTGAAAAGATCACCAGGTCTAGGATAGGTTGTGGAGATCTCATGTGTGAACTAGAAACACCAAGTCAGTATGTCACTTACTTCTAAAGAAGTCCATGAGGTCCTCGGTGACATTGCCATAGGCTGCAAAAACCCTGCTGATGCCAGGGGGACCAGGAGGGCCTGGGGGACCTGTGGGTCCCTGTGCAGTGTAAGACATGAGGTCCTGGAGAATACCTTGGCCTGAGGAATTAAAGAAGTCATTTGAAAGGAGTTCTGGGAAAACTGTGTCTGGGTGCTGAGACAGGAAGGTGTGAGGGAGCAGTAGGCAGCAGGAAGGGTGAGGGACGCGAACAGCGTGACACCTGGCACAGGGGGTTAGGAGTTGTGGGCTGGGACAGGGAGGGTCAGGACAAGCAGGGAATCCACTCACTCTGTAGGCTTTCTGACACGTGGCGTGCCAGCTCGTTGTAATCCAGGGAACCAGTGAAGGAGCTGCTGTAGGATCTGCCTGAACCTCCTGATCTCCTGTGTGATTCCTCCTCTGTCAGCAACCCATCGAAAGACCCATCACTGCCCATGGAGGCATCATAAGAGCCATCGCTGCCCCTTGAGGCACTGTAAGACGACATGCTGCTCCTGGAGCTGCCGTATGAGCTGCCTGTGCCCAGTGAGCCCCCGCGAGATCCTTCAGCACCAAGGGATCCTCCATGCAACCGCTCGGAAGCCCGTAACCCTTGGTATGATGAAGACATAGACCCAGCCACCAAACCACTATCTCCTTTGGGTCCTGGAGGTCCCCGTGGCCCAGGGGGGCCAGGTGGCCCTGAGATGTAGCTTCGAACTTCATCACCTGCAAAATATAAGAGCAGGGACTTCAGGGACACTGGGGTACCTGCCCCCACCAGACTTGGCAGAGGTCCTGTGCTGCCACCTGAATGAAGACTGGAGTGTTAAATTCCATCCTACCAATCATCTCAGTAATCCTCATCCAGTGCCATTTCTCAGGCAGGTTCATCAGCCTTGATGTCTAGAGATGGCATGACACTCTCCTCCCTCCCCACCTCTACACAATATTGGGTGCCCAATCTTGGAAACATGACCAATGATTCTGCAGAAGGGCACACTCCTTAGGCTCATTTTGGCACCTCTGCCAATTCAGGGAAGGCTTCTACAAGACCACCTCAGCTGTGGCAGAGCCCACAGCCTACACAAGGCAAAGCATGGCTCGGGGTGTGTGCAGGGAGGATGGATGGCATCCCCTTACTCTTCAGGTACTGGATCAGCTCGCTCCTGAACTCGTCACTGTTGGTGATGTCAGCATAGGACAGGAGGCCGGTTCCTGAGAAGCCTGGTGGTCCTGGAGGGCCAGGAGGGCCAGGTGGGCCCTGAACTCCAGAGAGGGAGGAGTATCCCACACCTTGAGAGAGAGGAAGAATTATTTTCTGACAGAGAAAAGACAAGGAAATCACACGTCTCATGATCTTGAAAGTTTAAAAGGCTCCAACCCCAACTTCCGTCTCTCTCCAGCTGATGTTGATAAGATCTATTTCTTTTTTAAGTGGCCATGTTCTCAGTGGCCAGTCACAGGCCTTGCTAAGCTAAATCTCAGTCTCAGTTCCCCCAGCACCTACAAACAGAATGTCCCTGTCAGCTGTGAGAAACACAAGTGCTTTACTTTGTAGGTAAGCAGAGATGTCCTCCAGAGAGGTGCCAGGTAATCCGGGGATTCCTGGAGGTCCTGGGGGCCCTGCAGGGCCAGGGGGCCCAACAAGACCACTGAATTCAGAGTCTGTAAGACACAAGAGAAGAAAAAAGTCACCCAAACCACTGCAACCCTGATGCACCTTCCCTGACAAAACACATAATGCCAGCTACAGCCAAATACAAGGCCATTTTTTCTCCCCAGCACCTTCTGGGGCAGCCTTTCTCATGCACCTCACTTCCCTGCATGTAGATGTCACATTGGGAAGTCAGGAGATTCCAAAGAGGGTAGAAGTCCCTGTTTTTTTTAAATATACTTTTTAAAAAGTGGCATAAGAAATTCCTGCAGAGTTTGGAGAAGACAAAGGGCTTCTCCACCTCCATTCCCAGGACAGCACCTCACTGCTGCTGCTCTCCACAGGAGCACAGTGATCTGTCTGCAATTCCTTGCAGTCTATGCAGGTCCTGGCAGAGCACAGCAGACCTGTAGTACTGCTAACTAAGGCAGAGGGATCATCAGCCTCATAGAGGGTTATTTGTGGTGACAGGCAAAAGGGGAAATTCTGTGACTAAGCCTGTATAAAAAGATGCTGGGGGTGTGTAGGGACCTATGGCAGGGGAGTAAAGAAGTTGGCTTACTTCTCAGGTATGCGGTCAGGTCACTGTAAGATATACCAGGTGTCCCCGGAGGCCCAGGTGGTCCAGGGAGCCCAATGCTCATCCCAGAACCTGCAAAATCAAACAGATCCAAGAGTAGCACATTATCAACTGTATAATATCAACTGTAACAGGCTGTTACAGTGTGAGCAGACAGGCTGCAGGGCTTGTTCACAGGCAATGCAGGAGGGACTCTTGCAGGGCTGAGTGTTCTCATCAGCAGATTGTGCTGGGAAGCAGGGCTCAAGCCTTTGTTTTCTGGACCAAAGTTGAAACTTGTCTCGTTAATCACAATACAGGGGAACCTGCAGCCAGGCAGGCATCAGGCTGCTCTACTCTTGGCAAAAGTTCTGCACACTTCCTGAACTCCTGACATGGGAGGCAGGGGCACCCCAGGACATGTAGCTTAACTGTGACCCACTGGTTAATGCATATGGGCATAGATCAACTCTTCCACAAAGGTATATCCTGGCTACAGAGCCAGTGAGAAAAGGGTTATAAAGTGTTAATGGGACTTCTAAGATGGCTAAGGTGAAATGATGTTCCTAAGCTCAGTTTTTAGCAAAGCAAGAACTGATTACTAGAGTCTGTGGATAGTATCTGAGCTACAGGGTATCATCTTTGCTCTCTTCCAAGTCTCTCACAATCCCTGTGAGGAGGTCTCTGTACAGAGGGATTCACACAGATGCCACTGGAAGAGTTTTCATTGACAGCATGAGCTTTCTGCTCGACTCCCAAAGGAACAGAGGGAAATGCACACTAATAAAGACCATTACTTGTCAAGTAGCTGATAAACCGTCTGGTCAGCTCATCATAATCCAGTGACAGAGACATGCCATCTCCCCCTGGTCCAGGAGGTCCTGGTGGGCCCCGAGGTCCAATTAGATACTGACGAATTTCTTCTCCTGGAAATGAAAAAAGCATCTCTTAAGACTGTTCAGCTGCTGCAAAGATACCAGGTGTGAGGGATTCCCAGCCTGTGAACTGAGCCCCTACCACTATGGAGACCATAAAAACCTACAGGTGCAAAGCTACTTTCTTCCCTTGCCTCCTTTTCTGGGTGTGATCTGCCTTGTGAATGGTGCAACAGACATTTGTGACAGGGCTGGGAACCCTGTCAACCCAGGGTTTGAGGAGGATGAGAATCTGGATTGCCAAAAGGATATCCTTGTGCTCTGTTTCTTCAGGACTCCCTGGACAACAATGTGGATACAGAGAAAAGACCATGCTGAGCTCTGCGGCATTTCAGCAGCCATTTGCTGTTTGGAATGTGGGATCTGATTGACTCCCCACTGGATCACACAGGAGGAGCGCAGTGTTGGCCAGCATCACCAGTACCTTGAGGCACAGCCAAATGAGATCTATCAACCCACGGTAACAGTGTGTGTCAAAAAGAATACGGAGTTCGGGATCCTACTTACCTTAAAAAACAAAGACATAGCAAAGCTTTGAAGTAGGCAGGAAGGAATGGAGAGCCCTAAGAGAGTGGAGGAGCTGGAAAGCAGAAGGCCAAGGTTTAGTGAGAGACTGGGGGAAATTGTGGGGAATTCCCAAAAAGGAGGGACATAGATGCCACCTAGAGGGCCAAGGAGGGAAAGGGAGGCAAGAGTGTGGGATACAGCAAAGTTACAACAGTAGGTATAAAAAGCAAACAGATAAGGAAGTATAGCTTCTGGAAAGCATGCAAACTCTCCAGTACAAGACACATAAATCCGTCTCCAAAGAACTTGGAAGGAGACATTGCAGGTCACTCAGTAACACCTAGAGCAGTCATTTGCCCTCCAAAGCAGTTGCTGGTAACTCTGGCTGGAGGCAGAAGACTGGAAGGGAGTGGCAGATCACCAGGCTGCTGGGATGCTTTACATCCATCCCGCGTGTTTCCCCTCAGGGTCACTTACTCTGCAGCATGTCCAGAAGTTCTTGGTACAAAACGGATGTAGTTGATACCGAACTGGCAAATGACTGGTAGCGATCTGAAGAGCCTGTGGGAATTAAAAGGCGTTACTTGGGCAAGGTTAAGAGGAGACAAAAGGTAAAGAGAGGTCAGGCAGGTACAAAGGAAAGCTGAATTAATCCAGTTTAACTGGTGGAATGGGCTTCCCATGCCCCCAGCCATGAATAAGTTGCTGTTGCACACAGCCTGCTTGTCTCCGCAGTGGTGTGGTCTGCACTTTTCTGGTTGAGATTCCAGACTGCTTCCAAAAATTTCATCTACTTCATGAGGCCCCCATGAATAAGCCCCAGAATACCTAAGACCACATATACCAAATGCAGCCACCTCTATTTAAGTCTTGGGGATGTTACAGGTTCTATGTTTAATGTGAGATTTTTTAAACAGCAACTGTCAGTTAACCTAACCATCAAAATGGGAGAAAGATCAGAGGCCACCTCAGATGTCTGGAGTCCTGGGCCAAGACTGCAGATGTATAACTGGGTTGGGGTGCCGCTATTTAAAGACTCTCGTTTCTCGCCCGGTTCTCACCTCTTAGATGTTGCAAAAGCTCAGCTGAGAGCGTGACTCAGTACAGAGCTTACCAACATAGTGCTTACTTGTAATATAGCTCATAACACGGGTAGCCAGCTCCGCATAGTCCAAGGTCATCCCATCTGCAGTGGTGATGATTCCAGGCAGGCCTGGAGGGCCTGGTGGGCCTTGAGCACCAATCAAATAATGCCTTACATTGTCACCTAGGTAAGAAACCCAAAATATGCCCACATCACTTGAGGGAAGACAATGGACACTCTTCCCCTGGCAAAAAGCAGGCTGATAGAAGGACAGTTCTGCTGAGGCCACAATGGGCAACAGCACTTCATAGTATTCAACAACAGTAAGGCCAGAGCAGTAGGATTGCTGCTTCTAAAGGGTGACAAGGGGCTCAGGGAGCAAAAGAGATATAGGCATGCATCTGCTGACCCATGGCAAAATCTCCTTATACTCACTTTTCAGGTAGTCAGTGACATACTGCTGAATCTCTTGAGGTGAACTTCCACCTGGGCCAGGAGGACCGGGTGGTCCAGGAGGTCCTGGGGGTCCCTGAATTTGTCTGGATCCACCTACAGAAAGCACATAAGGAGAAGGAATGCTTTTGGCCTGGTTACCAGACCAAGCAATGTTCAAGTGTCCTTGCATTGAATCCTTCCTACAGGTCTGGAATGAACCTTGGGAATGGACTATGGAGGGGCTCTCTCTTCACTTCTAAACACAGTCTGAGCGTGGGCAATTAGGCAGTATAATGTCTTCAATTAATGCAATATCTTAAAATTCATCCCATGCAGCTCTGCGGGCTGAGTCCAGAGACCTCCCTGGCTTTGTACTGACAGACCTGGTCAGTTTGTGCACCAGAGTGCAATGCTGTGCAGAAATATAGCTAGAGATCCATAAAGCACTCAACCTCATTGCCCTGCTGCTCCAGCCAGCCTGGGCAGTACCAGCTGAAGAACCTTCTCGCTGGTCTCCATTGCAAGATACAGGTGTGCCCTGTGCAACTGCTGTCACCATGCTGCTGAGTGACAGCTCATGCTCTTTAAGGTGTCTGTCATCCCAGCACCCTAAGGTAGTATTCCTAGGACATGATGTGGAGAACCAGAGGACTTGCTCACATGGAAAGATGCTTAAATTAATCCACATGCACTTTTTGTGGAAGTGCATTAATATTCTGTGTATAGAGATGCTCTTATTCAGAATAAAAGCAACTTCATCCCCATGAATCCAACTGAGGGTAAGTAAAACTGAACAAAGGGTACTTCTGATCAGAAGTGTTTCCACAAGAGGGTTCAATGCAGCTTCCCTAATCCCTTGTGGAACACTGTTAGCCAACCTGGAGTCCCTTTCTTTCATGTCCCAAAAGGACAAATTGTGGCTCAAAGGATTCCCAGTAAGCTGGAAAGAGAAAACTTGCAATTCTTAAATTGTCTGATTTAAGGCTGGCTGTGAAAAAAGAGGTTTTGAACACAAACCCCATCAGCATTAGGTTGGCACACACACTTGTAAAACCCAAAGGAAGTTTCTCAAAGTCTCCACCAGGATGTCAGCATTTCTTGATAATATCAGAGTAATGATGGTCTGGCCTCTTACCTCGAGATGTTCCTGGAATGCCAGGAGCACCTGGGACACCTGCATCACCTAGAAACCAGAGTGAGGAAGACAAAGAATTGTAATGGGTGTTTACTGCACATTGCATACTTGATCGTGTAAAACAGTTGAGCTACATGTTGTCAGAGAAGCAGCTACACAGCCCTTATAATGACTATCTTGAATTAGCAGCTTGCTGGGGAAGAGCAGAAGGAAGAGGCCACAGCAGCTTTCCTGAGCCTTCTGTGATCTGGCCAGGTGCCTTGTGCTCAGAGTAATTCTACTGCCATGGTCTTGCTTTGCCTGAAAAGGCAGGGGTGGGAACAGCTGTAGTTCTCAAAGGACCAGGTTGCTCCATACTTCAGCTTCAATCACTCTTGGCTGTGTGAGGCCACCAGCAAATAAAGTAAGAAGATTTTTAACTTTACCTTTGGGTCCAGGTGGGCCTGGTGGGCCTGGAGGTCCCTGCATGGTAACTCTGTCACCTGCCAATTGCAAAAGGAGAGTCAGAGATTCACAGAAATAAAGTGTGTAGACAAAATCCTGGCTCCACTAAAACAAAGCTACAATGAATAGAGCAGGATTTTGCCCCCTGGTTTCAACCTAGGGACAATGAATTCAAAGGAGGAAAGGGGGTACAGACTGACCAAGGGAGGAGAATGCTGAAAGGCCAGGTTCACCCGGTTCTCCTGCATGGAACACAGAAATGGAGGAGCAGTCATATACATAGGCAAGCTACTCTGCACTTCACTGATATGTTTGGGAAGCCTCCTTACCCGTGAATCCTCGTGGGCCTCGTTCACCTGTGAACAGGGGAGCAGAGGAACAGGGTTAGAGTTTGCTTTGTTCTGATCTGCAACATCCCAACCCTCACTACAGAATATTATCATGGCCTTCAATTTGCAGGGCAGAAATTGGTAAAGGCAGTAGGTCTCATCTTCTCCTACCAGCTGAGAACTGAGCTACACTTCACAGGACCACCTCCTTGCACTGACTTAGCCAAGTCCACACTGTACTTTGCAAAAAGATTGTTCCCCTTTAATGGCAAATCTGAAGCTCTGAATTCTCCTGAATCTAATGGGCTCGCAAAGTTAAGATCTGAATACAGCAACTGCCTTGACACCAGTATTGGAAGCTAATGAATTTCTCTGACAATGACTAACTTGTTTTACGGCAGCAGACAGGATTCCTACTTAGTGATCGCTGTGCTAGCTTTCTTACAGCCACAGAAAGGCAGGACACTTTCTGCTTCCAAGCCCTTCCTTCCTTCTTTTCAATTTGAGGTGCTGAAATCCATCTAGCATCTTGGCGAGGCAGAAGGATATACCCACCTTGGTCTCCCTTCGGGCCTGGTGGGCCTGGTGGACCTGGTGGGCCTGTGAAGAATGCTTCTGTAATTAAAAAAAAAAGAAAGGTTTCTTCATGACATCCAACAGAACATGACACTAGTTTCCTCTGGCTCCACCTGGTCCTAGCCAAGGATGTGTTCTCCAGAGCTCCAAATGTCAGGGCATTCCCAGGGAATAAGCAAGGGGATAAGTCGGAAGAACCTACCTGAGGTGGACATGGAAGATCCTGGTCTCCCTGGTGGGCCTGGAGGTCCCGGCAATCCTTCTCCTAGGAAAAAGGGATACAAACAGGATACACACATTCAGGAAGGATGAGCATCAGCAATGTAAGTGAATGCATGTCAGAGCTGCTACACCTCCAGCCACAGCCATAGCTCAAATATTTCCAAGTGTAGGCAGGTATCATTGTTTACTCCACAGACATCTATCCCTGTTAATTAATTTTCATTATCATCTGCCACCACAGCAGATGTAGGACAGAAAAAAACCCTCCTTTGTGATACAGAGTGCCTACCCCAGCTGGAGTTCACTGCATTGAGAGGGAAGGTTCATTTCATCACGCATGACCTGCTCCCCTTTGCTACTGAGCAGAGAGCAAGGAATGGGGTTATGCTCCTGTCTTGTCTCCTCTGCACCTTCCCTCTTCTGGCCGTGAAAGGGAAATCTGTGCTACAGGAAGTGGAGTGGGGATATGTTCCTCATTATAAGAGCCACCTCATCTGTCCCCAGCTGGAAGTTAAGGCTGAACAAGAATTAAGTAAAGATGGAATTGATTGCAGTTACTTCCTTTGGGACTTGAGAAACATTGAGTATCTTCCCAAAAAGTATGGCTTTTATGAATTACCACTCTGGCTAGTAAACCTCTGCCAAAGTAAATCTCCTCTCTTGGGCAGTGCCGTGATGCTGTGAAACTATATTACAGTGAAATTGTGTTAGTGGGAACCCATTGTGTGAAATTCTGCTTCCAGTAAAGTCAGCCCTACTGTGCCCACCAGGTTCAAGATTGCATCTGGGATACCACAAGGTACAGGATAGAGACACTGGAAAAACATCCCACATTCCAGGTTTGTTTCAGAGAAACAAACCCTTACCTGGGGGGCCACGAGGTCCAGGAGGTCCCTGCACAGATTCACCTGATGAAGAAAGAAACAGCGGTATTATAGAATATTTAGTTAGCAAACTGCATGGCCTAGAAACATGCCATGTGTGTCAATGTTCCCCTGCTTACGTACTGAAATCTGCTATATTACGTACCCGGTGGTCCAGGGGGACCTGGTGGTCCTGCTCGCCCTTGTAAATCTGCCAGCACTGTGCAAGTGAAACACACACAAAAAAGAGAAAATTGTTGCTATTGAACTACTGCTGCTATAGAAATACTGTCATTACGTTGCTGTTAGAAGCTCTTATGGTCAAAGATGGATTAAGACAGGAACTGAATGACCTAAGCCAAAGTTGAGGCAGAGAGGGGAGAAGAGAGATGTGTTTGGTTGCCAGCACACAGTTTAGGGCATGAAGCAAAATACAGTGCTGAGCAGGCTGGCAGAATTGGAAACAGGGAGGAGATCTCCTTGGAGAGTAATGGTTGCTGAGGGAAACAGCAAAGGGCTCAAAGGCTAGAAGAAGGAGGGAAAGATTCTTTCAACATGAGGCAATTTTTGAGAGGAGAACATTATGCAGCTGTTATTTATCAAGTAGCTGCACTGTGTTATCTTGATTGGATATTTATCCTCACCACAAAGCTGAGGCACAAATTCGAAGTTCAGTGATGTTGAGATCCCAGACTCCTGAATGGAGGATCGGACAGTACTGAACCAGGATCTGGATCTACATGACCCCATTCAGAGAGTGATCAGGGAAGGACCATTTGTGATTTTATGCCCTCCTCTACCTTGCCTCCCCTGCACACTTGCAGAGGTCTCAGATCCTAGGAATACTGACTGTAAGTGCAGCACACATCTAGTATTGCACAGAGCAAGCAAACGCTTTTCCTGGGATGCTGCTAAACCATTTTGTTCTGCTTCACTTATTTTCATCTTAAAAATAGCTTTTGCTCCCCTGTGAACCTGTCCTCTAATTCACAGAGATTTCTATTTCTGTTGCTTAGATTAACATGCATTTTCAAATTGGTTCTCCTCTTACGGATGGCCCTGTGTTCACAGTATATAGGGAATTACTCTGTGTAAACACAGTGGCCAAAAGGCCAGGCTGAAACCTCACAGATCTGTGACCATCTCTGTTGTTGGGGACTGTTCACCAGTCACCATTCCTTAGCTTTTCTCTCTGTAACATGAGTCTGGTGCCATCTACATCCTTTTGAAAGCACTTTGGGATGCACAGATGAGAAGGAGGACAGAAGTAGCTGCTATTGCTGTCCTACCACCAAATATAAATACACACACACTTTCCCCATGTCAGTCATATTGAGGGGAAAGAGGTAGGATGATCTTTCGAGGTCCTTTCCAACTCCT